TTGGGCCAGTGGCGGTGGGGGTGGCAGTGGAGGGGCTGGGGGTGGTGGAGACAAGGCCAGGCGAGGCAGCTGGACCGGCTGCAGGGCGGAAGGGGGTGGGGACTCACGCTCCTTAGGCCGTGGGCAGCCCCCTTCCTGGGGAGTGCAGGAGGGCCGGGCCCATGGCTCCGGGCTGCTGGAACCCCCCTTGCTGTGGGCTGATGTATCTGTAGAGAGAGAAATGCAGGCAAGGGGTGAGTGACCCTCAATGCTGCCTTGATTTCCCCTTTCCCCCCTCCTTCCCTAACCTCCCCGCTACCCGAACCCAGAACTATCCTTCCTACCTTCCGCCCCCCAGCCCCAAGATAGTCTTGCTCTGTCACCCTGGCTGGAGTGCAGTGGTATGATCTTGGCTCACCACAACTTCCAACTCCTGGGTTCAAGCGATTATCCTGCCTCAGTCTCCTGAGTAGCTGAGATTTCAGGTGCCCGCCACCACACCCGGCTACTTTTTGTATTTTTAGTAGAGACGGGTTTTCACCATGTTGACCAGTCTGGTCTCAAACTCCTGACCTCAAGTGATCCGCCCGCCTCGGCCTCCCAAAGTGCTGGGATTACAGGTGTGAGCTACCGCGCCTGGCCCCAGAATGATCCTTTTAAAACCTACGTCAGATCACGCCTTGGCAGAGAAGCTCCATGGCAGGCCAGTCTTTGTACCCAGAGGAGAGACATTCGTGCCCGCTTTAGTGGAAGCAGCTCCTGGAAGTCCCTTGCTGGGCCAGGCAGCTCCCATCTCACTGACAGTAAGAGCCAACAGTTTTTCTAGTTTTTAATTTTTTTTTGAGACACAGTCTCACTTTGTAGCCTACACTGGAGTGCAGTGGCGCGATCTCGGCTTACTTCCACCTTCATCTTACGGCTTCAAATGGTTATCCTGCCTCAGCCTCCCAAGAAGCTGGGACTACAGGCAGGCGCCACCCCGCCCGGCTAAATTTTTGTATTTTTAGTAGAGGTGGGGTTTTGCCATGTTGGCCAGGTTGGTCTCAAACTTCTGACCTCAAGCAATCCACCTGCCTTGGCCTCCCAAAGTTCTGGGATTACAGGCGTGAGCCACTGCGCCCGGTTAAGGGCCAACATTTGATGAGGCTCTGAACTATCTGGATACTGCATCACACTGCTGGATCCTAAGGAGGTGAGAGAGGGGCCTGAGAGAGAGCTGGGGTGGCTGGGCACTGATGGACATTTCCCTGAGACTCTCTCCAACCAGGACAGCAGGATTTTCCAGTTCAGCCTCCAGCCTGGTAGGCTTCCTCAGTCTGTACTCACCTGGGGTCTCATTCAAGCTCATGGGCTCGAACAGTTTGCATACAGGGGCTCCCAGTTTCCTGGGCTCAGCCTGAACCTCTGCCTGGGCTCCAGACTCCTGTCTCCAGCTGTGCACTCTTCATTGTCTAAAAACGCCCCAAACTCACTTGCTCAGAGCTGGGCTTCTGATCCTTCCCCAACCTGCTCCTCCCTCAGCCACCCCCATCTCAGCTGATGCAGCTCCATCCTCCCAGCTGCTCAGGTTAAACACCTTCACTGTTTTGTTTACTAAGACACCATCCGCATACAGAAGCTTCTGCCTTCAAATTAAATACATCCAACTTCTTTCTTAGTGGTCCCCACCCTGGTCCAACCACCAGCATCTCCCACCAGGACCACTGAGGTCATCTCCTCCCTGAGGGCTCTCTGCTTCCACCCCTGTCCCTGACAGTATCTTCTTCCACCAGCACCCTGAGGGGTCCAACTAAAATACAAGTCAGTTAGGCTACAGGAAACAAGCTACTCACAAAGAATCACAGATCATAGGGGCCATTTATATGAAATGTCCAAAATAGGCAAATTTGGCCGGACGCGGTGGCTCATGCCTGTAATCCCAGCCCTTTGGGAGGCCAAAGTGGATCACCTGAGGTCAGGACTTCAAGACAAGCCTGGCCAACATGGTGAAACCCCATCTCTACTAAAAATACAAAAAATTAGCCGGGCATGGTGGCATATACCTATAATCCCAGCTACTGGGGAGGCTGAGGCAGAATTGCTTGAACCTGGAAGGTGGAGGTTGTAGTGAGCCAAGATCATGCTACTGCACTCCAGCCTGGGCAACAGAGCGAGACTGTCTCAAAAATAAAAAATAGGCCTGGTGCGGTGGCTCATGCCTGTAATCCCAGCACTTTGGGAAGCCGAGGTGGGCAGATCACCTGAGGTCGGGAGTTTGAGACCAGCCTGACCAACATGGAGAAATCCTGTCTCTACTAAAAATACAAAGTTAGCTGGGCATGGTGGCGCATGCCTGTAGTCCCAGCTACTCAGGAGGCTGAGGCAGGAGTAGTGCTTGAACCCGAGAGGCAGAAGTTGCGGTGAGCTGAGATTGCTTCATTGCACTCCAGCCTGGGCAACAAGAGCGAAACTCCGTCTCAAAACAACAACAACAACAACAACAACAAAACCAAAACGCAAATCTATAGAAACAGAAAGTAGATGAGTGGCTGCCAGGAGCTGGGGGAAGATGGGGAAGATGGGAGATTGGGGATCGCTAAGAAGT